CTGCCCCATAGAAGCTTTGAAAATATTACTCCTTGCTCTTTTTTTTTTTTTTTGTTAATGGGTCACCAATGCACAGGAAAAGAAACTAAGGCCCCATGTACACGGGACACTTCTGAACAATGGAAACTGACTGCTGGAAAATGTAGATTAAAAATATCTGTTTAGCCGCGTTTGGATAACGCGTTTATGCACGTTTGCGTTTAGAAGTGTTTTTTTTAAAGATAAGCACAGGAGAACCTCCCAAATGCCCAGAATGCACTGAAAAGTGGTAAATTATTAACTATTTCAGACTGTTTTAGAGAAAGCAGTAGAAGCAGAGATAGCAGTATGTGTTGTGATTAGCTTAGGTGTGAGTTGCTCATTAACATTTCTTTTGTTTCCAAGGGTGGGAAAGGTGTCTGGTGGAGGAGTGAGTCATTAAGGCCGCCTGGCAGGGGGTCTTCCTGAGGAATTTCAGGTGTGAATGGTCATTAACATATCTTGTTTCCAAGGGTGGGAGAGGTCTGAGGTGTGAATTGGTCATTACAATGTGTTACAAGCATGGTAGGAACATCCTGTGTTCAGTGTTTTGTCCATTTGAGTACCTTGAAAACACTTTGCATGCATTTTTCATGATGAAAAAATTCTCTGAACAGCATCGGGAACTGGCAGAGTTAAAAAAAAATTTCAAACGCAAATGCTTATGAATGCGATTTTCCACGTTTACAAGGGTTTGAAACGCTGATATAATCGACTGCTGAATGCAAGTTTTCTGCGTTCAAAAAAATGACTGTAAACTCAAATGCCTGTAAAGGACTGCAAACAAAGATGTGTACATGGATACATAGGAAAACATTAGGGCACATTAAGGGGTTGCTCAAAAAAAATGCTGAACAGCTCTTAAACGTGAGTTTATCAGCTGCAGTGTACATGAGCCCTAAAACCACATGCAGCATTTTCCCATTTGTTTTACTGTGCATTGTGGTGCTCTGGAATATGCACATCAAGGCTATATTGTTAACTCAATCAAAAAGAATGACAATATGCATAATGCATGTTATCGCAATACATACCATTGGAAAGGTGTGTTTCAGTCCCTAGGGCACATGGACATTTTTATACAAAATCTTGCTGGAAGGAAGATCCTGTTCAAATGCTGTATGCATGCAATGTTTGCGCCAATGTTTACATGCGTACAATGTACACAGACCCTATTGGCTGTTGCTAAGGGCCAATGTGTAGAAACACAATATACAGTGGGGCAAAAAAGTATTTAGTCAGCCACCAATTGTGCAAGATCTCCCACTTAAAAAGATGAGAGATGCCTGTAATTGGCATCATAGGTAGACCTCAACTATGAGAGACAAAATGTGAAAAAAAATCCAGACAATCACATTGGCTGATTTGGAAAGAATTTATTTGCAAATTATGGTGGAAAATAAGTATTTGGTCACCTACAAACAAGCAAGATTTCTGCCTCTCACAGACCTGTACCTTCTTCTTTAAGAGGCTCCTCTGTCCTGCACTCATTACCTGTATCAATGGCACCTGTTTGAACTTGTTATCAGTATAAAAGACACCTGTCCACAACCTCAAACAAACAGTCACACTCCAAACTCCACTATGGTGAAGACCAAAGAGCTGTCGAAGGACACCAGAAACAAAATTGTAGACCTGCACCAGGCTGGGAAGACTGAATTTGCAATAAGCAAGCAGCTTGGTGTGAACAAATCAACTATGGGAGCAATAATTAGAAAATGGAAGACATACAAGACCACTGATAATCTCCCTCGATCTGGGGCTCCATGCAAGATCTCACCCCGTGGGGTCAAAATGATCACAAGACCAGTGAGCAAAAATCCTAGGACCACACGGGGGGACCTAGTGAATGACCTGCAGAGAGCTGGGACCAACGTAACAAAGGCTACCATCAGTAACACACTACGCCGCCAGGGACTCAGATCCTGTTTCTCCGCAAAGGGACCAGGACGACTGATCCATGTACAGGACAGAATAAATGGGGCCATGTATCGTGAGATTTTGAGTGAAAACCTCCTTCCATCAGCAAGGGCATTGAAGATGAAACATGGCTGGGTCTTCCAACATGACAATGATCCCAAACATACCGCCTGGGCAACGAAGGAGTGGCTTCGTAAGAAGCATTTCAAGGTCCTGGAGTGGCCTAGCCAGTCTCCAGATCTCAACCCCATAGAAAACCTTTGGAGAGAGTTGAAAGTCCGTGTTGCCCAGCGACAGCCCCAAAACATCACTGCTCTACAGGAGATCTGCATGGAGGAATGGGCCAACATACCAGCAACAGTGTGTGCCAACCTTGTGAAGACTTACAGGAAACGTTTGACCTCTGTCATTGCCAAAGGATATATAACAAAGTATTGAGATGAACTTTTGATATTGACCAAATACTTATTTTCCACCACAATTTGCAAATAAATTCTTTCCAAATCAGCCAATGTGATTGTCTGGATTTTTTTTTTCTCATTTTGTCTCTCATAGTTGAAGTCTACCTATGATGCCAATTACAGGCCTCTCTCATCTTTTTAAGTGGGAGAACTTACACAATTGGTGGCTGACTAAATACTTTTTTGCCCCACTGTATAACCATTGGTGCCACCTGTGCCAACTACACACTATTGAGGTTTATATATTGTATGATGGAAGGTGGAGGTCATTCTGCCCAAGCACTAGCACACCAATAACTCATTCAGGGTGAGATGTAGACATCAATAACGTGTAATCAACGTTAGCAGCACTGCTGGCTACACACCGTTGATATTTACATGCCAACCCTCAGCAGCAGTGTCCATGGCCACAAGCAAATGTTAGCACAAACTTTTTCATGCATACAACATAAAATATAGTCCAGATGCCGGACAGTTAAACACAGGCCAGAAATGTATTCTGGCCATTAAAATAACTGCATGCTCAAGTGCTAAACACGCCTAGCACTAATGCAAGTTTAGACGCATTTACAAACGTTCATGGCAAAATGTTCCTGCTCCTGGCGCGAAGGCAGTAGGTTTTTTTCTGCCTCTAAACTCCTCTAAAAGCCTATGTGTGCATGGACACATAGGCTAACATGCAGGGGCATTTAGAAGCAGGAAAAAATGTCTAATGTGAATGAAGCCTAACAGGTATAGCTATTCTATACAGTAGCTCCCTTCAACTGCTGAGTACTGCTGCAGCAGGACAACACATTGAAATGATACAAAAAAAAAAAAAAAAAAAAAAAAAAAAAAAAAAAGAAAGTAGGACCTGTGTTTTGGAAAATCTTGATCACTATATACTGCGTCCTCTTGAAAAGCCAATGCCAACTTTCCCGCTTTAATGATACATACAGTAGGCTGTTTGCACTATAAAACTGCAAGATAACCAAGTGACTGCTCTAGTGGGGAAAACCTGGAGAGGTAGGCCATTTCCACCTTGTATTAATTGTAAGTGGTTTTTTTTTTTTTTTTTACATTTTGGATGGAGAACATACAGTCAGGTCCATAAATATTGGGGACATCGACACAATTCTAACATTTTTGGCTCTATACACCACCACAATGGATTTGAAATGAAACAAACAAGATGGGCTTTAACTGCAGACTGTCAGCTTTAATCTGAGGGTATTTACATCCAAATCAGGTGAACGGTGTAGGAATTACAACAGTTTGCATATGTGCCTTCCACTTAGTAAGGGAGCAGAAGTAATGGGACAATTGGCTTCTCTCTTTATGGACCTGACTGTATTTTAAAGGGTCATTCCATGAAACCACACCTCCTTGTCAATAAGATGCTGTAGAGTTTAACCTCACAATTCAACTTTATTCGCACTTATGTATAGTGCCGGAGTAACCATAATATAAGAAAAGAACAAGATAAAGCCCTGTGTGTTGGTGGTGGGCAGGTCAAATGTAGGACATATGGAAATAAACTATGATGTAAAGTAGATCAAGAGGAAGAAATTATTGGTACACTTTTTACTTTTGGATGAAGTGGGGGATGGGGGGGGAAGACCCATGAATGAGATTTCTGTCTACAAACACACACTGTGTCCTTGGAGAAATTTCTACTTCCCATCATGGTAACCATTACCATCAGTACAACTGGAAGCGAGTGAAAAAACCAGAGCAAAAAAAAAAAAAAAACTGTTATTAAAAGCAGGTTTATTATTTTTGATTAAAAAAATAAGAAATCTGTTATACTCACTTGCTCTGGTATTGCACAGAACAACCCCGATCCTCTTCTTCTTGGGTCGCCTCCCAGCCCAGCTCCTCCTCCTTTTTGTGTATCCCCATAGCAAGCCACTTGCTATGGGGATACATGCTGTTTGCATGCTCCCCGACCTCTGTCTACAGAGCCACGCTACATAGACCCCCCCCCCCCCCCCCCCCGCACTACCTCTTTCAGCGCATTTGACCGACAGCAGCAAAAGCCACGGAAACTAAAAACGTTTTTCTACCTTAGTGCAAGCAATGCATTAGGGTAAAAACATTTTCAGGTTTAGTATCAAATTTAAGATTTGTCTGTAATTATACTTAAAATTTACATATAGCTAAACCTGTTTTAGATAGAATAGGGAAGAGTTAAAACTTTTCAGGTTTTTTTTTTTTTTGTTGCCTGTCTTGAGATGAGACAATAGGAAGTTAGAGGAAATCTCCCAAAGTAAGGGACAGCTGCCCCAGAACAAGTGTCCCCATTGGAATATTTTCCCTTACCTCTGGTTCACAGGACAACTCTAAAATTTTTTAATTTCCTCTGCCTCTCTCTTTGTGGTCACCAGCAAAAATGAAAAAAGGGAAAATCTGCTCAAAGGGGCACAGACAGTAATAAAAACTTAAAAAGGTATAACCCTTGACCAATCTTTTAAAAAAAAAAAAAAACAAAAAAAACCCCAAGAAAACCCAAAACACACCTTTAAACAATTTCCTGAGAGGAAGCACCATGCAGCCTGGGGATGGCTCCTTTCCACTACAGACCAAAAAAAACCTTTATATCCATAACAGAGAATCACTGACCTTGTTCTTAGAGCAATCCAAGCAGCATCAATGTCAGCATATAAATTCTTCTCTGATGGCTTTCCAGAGCTTGACCCATATCCAGAATAATCGTAGGAGAATATGTTACAATTTATCCGAGAGCCAAGTCCTATATAAAAGCTGCTCATCTGACCCAAATCTACAGCATTTCCATGAGAGAATAGAAGTGTGTACTTAGCATTTGGAGAGCAGCGTACAAACATGCAGGCAATGCGGTTTCCCACGGCTGGTTCTAGTCATGAAACACTCTATAGCGTCTTTTTCTCGGGCAGAATATTGCCAGTCCGCTCGTTCAGTCAAATGAAGAGTCCAGCGGCTTCCACTCTCATCACATATAAGAGTGTAAGTTGGATCAGGAGGTAAGAAGGCAAGTTTGGAGGCGATTTTCCCTGGACATGGTGGGCAGCAAAAGAGGCAACACAGCTCGCTGAATGAAAGATTATTCATGGTGGTTCCTGGGAAGAAAACACACATTAATTAGTACTTGGATAAAATCAGTGAATATTTGCTTTATTTCATTCAAAGCATGATTTCTAAGGGGAAAGGTGCCTAATCAAACAACTATTATACATTTACCAAGAGATATTTGCTGAACAAACAAGCAGATGGTTTATTTTGAGAGGAACTGACTATTCCCTAGTGGCCAGGAAAAACTCTGACCTTCTTTGCACTGGTGGCAGCGAATGGAACCATGTAATGGAAAAATAACTTTATTCCAGCACAAAAGAAATTCACTGCTCTATTCAGACTCGTGTGCTGCATTAAATACCATAACTATTTCTTCTTTCTACTGAACAGGGCAATACAGATCATGGAAATATAACCTTGCAAAACAAAAAAAAAAAAAAAAAGAAAAAAAATGTTGCAAAGGACTTTATTTAGTCCTGGTGTCCAACCTGCAGCCCACTAGCACTTATTCTGTGGCCTTCAGTATCGCTGCAGACAGTATGTTTTCCTGTTTCAAGTAACAATTATGGCAAAAGTATTTAAGGGGGGCTGGATGGAGCACTGACATGGATGAAGTGCTGGCACAAATACAAGCACTGGCGGCTTCTCCATTAATGCTGTTAGCTGAACCAAGGGAATCAATTTTCTCTCCAGCTGTGTATAGTGGTCTTAAGACATAACCAATGATTGTTTCTGTGTGTGTAATTTCTACAATTGAGCTTCAACGGATAAAAGGATCCGACCATAAACAAACTCTATGGCCCACTGGGTCCTGAGATAAGCGCACAATCAAGGATGGAGATGTAGAAAATGGTAAATACACTAATCTTTAAGCCCCACCCCCTAATGCCTGTACCAATTCCCTTTATTGCTCAGGGTGGCCCTGAATTTGGGTGGAATTTGACCATTAATTTCAGCACAGAGCCCAAGACCACAGCAGTGCTCACAGTGGAAGGACAGAGATTAAAGTGTTTGTAGAGCCCAAACATTTCCTGAAAAATGTTTTCGTTTATGCATCTATTACTCTCCCCCCTTTGCGAAGCCTGATCTAGTGCTGTGCCCATTTCAGCGGCTTGCTCTTCTCCCTACTATCAAAGCCTTTGCTTAGAGCCAATGGCTCCACCTGCTGTAAAGTCAAATCCTGTGATGAGAGCGGGCCGAGTCTCACTGTGTGCCTACAGACACATGCAGGAATGGTTCGGGAGCAAACGCACAGAGGTCTGCCACAATCAGGAAGAGGCTTCCTATGGTGGCACACCAAGAAGAGGAGGAGCCAAGAGCACTGGCATATATAAACAAACACACACATACATACACACAAATCAAATTGTAAGCTCCAAAGAGCAGGGCCCTCCTAACCCTCTTGTATTGAGCTGTATTGTCTCGCTTTATTCTACAGCTCTATATAAATCCTGTATAATATAATATATTTATTAATAATAAAGACAAATGTTTTCAATCCTTCAAGTACAGTCATTAGTGCCATGGATGTAATCAAGGATTTCCTCTTTTTTTTAAATTTCTGTAAATTTTACAAATCTAGAGAAAGTGTGATGAAATTTCCAGTTCCAAGCTTAATTCCCAATTCCGCGCTGATGCTTAGTGATTATTTTATTAAAATTAGTACCAGGAACAGAACTTGAATGGATAACCTGTGTCCCTTTTGCTAGTGGCTGCTCTGTTCCTTTAAAATCTTCAATCCTCTGCCCTCCTGGACTCCTCCACAGCTATGGTCTCCCAATGCTGTGGAAATTAATAAAAGAGGTTCCCACTGGTCACAAGCGCCAGCTATGTCCACCCTTTCTGTCCTTGTGCTCTATTCATAGAAGCTGTACTATTGGTTCCTACTATGATAAGCATTCTACGAATGGAGGATAGGCGGATGAATGAAGAGTCTGCCTCCTCCACTGAGGGAAGCTATAGTACAGCTTCTATGAATGGAGAAAGTGGGCATCGTCGGCACTTTTGAGGAGTGCCTGTTAAACAGCACCAAAATATTATCACAGTTGCATGTGGGGAGCGGTTAAGATTCCTAACAGGAGTATTTTTTGTGGTTAAGCTGGCCATAGATAGATTGAGATTTGGCTGGTTCAAAAGAAACTGGACGAATTTCGAGCTATGGACAAAATGGTTGTACTGAAGTCGATCTATTGATCGACTTCAGTACAACCAGCCTGTTTTTTCCCAATACGTTCACATGTGGTTATAACAGTCAGCAATGATCATTTTATTCCTTCTTTTGGGGGAACGCTCCAGGTACTCCCTGCCGGCAGAACACAATAGCACTGTGGGAGGGATTCCCTAACCAACACTGACAGTTTTGATGGGGCATCAAGCTATTTTTTTCCTTCAATCACAGGCTGAAAATTGCATAAAGTATGGCTAGCCTTAGTCTTGAGTGTACAAACCATACAAAAACAGCAGCAGAAAGGGAGTCCCATTGTTACGATTCTGACGGAAGAAGGATTCTTTCCATATTGCTACATATCCAACAGCGGGTTTCAATATTTTTTTGAAAACCCCTGCAAGTCGAAGAGCAAAAAAAAAATGTATATGACTCAGTTATTCAAAAGGGGGATAGATAAAATGTGATAAGTAGAAGTCTGAGTCGCTGCACAATGTAATAGTGTAAACCCTTTAAAATAACGAATTTAACAAACTGTCCAAACTGCTGCAACGTGATGTAGTTGTGAATTTCATAAGGTGCAGCTCTATGAAGACAGCTTTGTTCTGAGCCCTAGTTAATGTGTGGGGTTGGCCTGGCTCAGCAGAGGCCTGGTTACCATGGCCACTGAGGATTCTGCCTTTATTTGTATTTTAAACATTGTGCAGACCAAATGCCTCAGATTATGGAAATAAAAATAGAATATCAAACACTTCTCTGTCGTTTGTACTAAGGTAGCCTGGTTGCATAATAAACAGGTCTTAAATGCCAAAATTCTTCAGCGCACACTAGGGAAACCTTGGTAAAAATGAGGATTTTTGGGAAAGCTAAGCAAGTTCACCGCGCACCACATTTAAACGAGGAGTACATCTCAGATACTGTGATAATATCCAGCATTAATACTGGCCAGCTGTCCTATACCTCAGAACAGTGATTGTTCCAAGGACCTCGGAAGGGGATATGTACCATACATGACATGCCTGCCTGGAGTTTGCATGTTCTCCCTGTGCCTGCGTAGGTTTCCTCCCACACTCCAAAGACATGTAGGTAGGTTAATTGGATCCTGTATAAATTGTCCATAGTATGTGTATGTATGAATGTGAGTTAGGGACCTTAGATTGTACACCCCTTGAGGGTTAGGGACTGATGTGAATACACACACTAAATATATATATATATATATATATATAACAAAGGCGGTGCGTAAATTGACTGCGCTATATAAGTACCTGAAATAAATAAATGTACAAGTCTATATTGCTTGTATGGACAATTTTTATTTTATATTTTTGTTTTTATAAGTAAGGCGTAACTTACAGTGATATTAAAGCTTTGCATTTTATTTTAATAAAATAAACATGTTATACTTACCTGCTCTGTGCAATGCTTTTGCATAGAGCAGCCCCGATCCTCCTCTTCTCTGGCTCCCTGCTGGTGCTGTCTGCTTCTCCCCCCTGCAGAGTGCCCCCATAGCAAGCCACTTGTTATAGGGGCACTCGTGCGTGCTCGCTTCTGAGCTGGCTGTGTAGAGTCCATTGACACACAAACTGCGGCTTGGCTCCCACCCCTGATCCCTCTATTGCTCTCGTGCAACTCGCTGGATCCAGATCAGCGGGATGGGGGGAAGAAACACACAATGTTTAATTATCTTAATGCAGAGAATGTAAAAAAAATTAAAAAAAAAAAAAAAAAAAAAAAAAAAAACTTTGGCCTTTAGAACCATTCTAAATGTAATAGAAAAAGTCCACTAAAGCTATCCATACACGTTACAAACTAGTCACACAATCCCCAATGCAAGTTCCTACTTATACAGTCCAATTTGCAGTTAGTAGGTCCTCGCAACAAATTTTATATACATATACTGTATATGTACATAACAGTGTGTGGTCAGCCTAAGGCACTTGTCTCACATACACACTATATATCTCCCCCATTATATGTACTGCAACAGTAAAATAACATGTACCCAATTGGATAACTAATCCCCCTCTGGGCCAACCTAAACAAAATGATAAACACACACAACACACACACACACACACACACACCCACACAAAAAAAAAAAAACCCCCCACAAACAGTCTTGTTAAAACTCCAGCACTCAAAAACATCCCTGGTAACACAACACACAAAATTAATTTTTTTAAGGCACAAAATAGGTATTGTAACACATAGCTTTCCCACTACGAATGTCTAAGTATGGATTCAACTACGCCTGTGCATTGTGCAGGGATGCATACATCAGGGTGCCTACAAATACAATACACGTTACGTATCGCCGTGCACGCCGGACAGAGCAATAATTCTAGCACCAGATATCAGTTAACATTAATCTGATGACCTCTAGGGGGCTTTTAAACCATCACCTATAGATAATATAGGGTAGTGAATTTTGTTGCCATTTCACCGATGCACGCAAATTTAAAGTTTGACATGTTAGGTATCTATTTACTTGGTGCAACCTCGTCTTTTATAGTTTACCAAAAAATTGTATTCAGTTTTTCTGCCCTTAAATTACAGGGCCTTGAAAAAGTATCCATACCCCTTAATTTTCCACATTTTGTCATGTTACAACCAAAAACGGAAGTTTATTTTCTGTGATAGACACAAAGTGGCACATAATTGTGAAGTGAAAGGAAAATGATAAATGGTTTTCAAAATTTTTTACAAATAAAATATCTGCAAAGTGTGGTAGGCATTTGTATTCAGCCCCATTTACTCTGATACCCCCAACTAAAATCTAGTGGAACCAATTGCCTTCAGAAGTCACCTAAATATTAAATAGAGTCCACCTGTGTGTAATTTAATCTCAGTAAAAATACAGCTGTTCTGTGAA